TATCAAATCGTAACAATCCAATGTACAGGGGGGAAAACCTCAGTATAAGCTAACACTTTCTTCGAGGACAAGAATAACTCACTCTGTGTTACTCAATGCAGGTATTCTTGGCAGCATTGAGCTAGCTGCAATGAATTTCAATTGTATATATTCCTTATAATTAAAACACACTGATTTTGGCTACATATTTCAGTAAATGGCACTACCTTGGATTTCATTTAGGCCTATATAATTTGCACACATTAATGGAATATTTTATTATATCCACGAAAAAATGGACATGAAGAACAGAATTTTAGAGACAGTAGACACTACCTTTATGAACCATGAGAAGTAAAGACAAATATCAGTTAGTACATATGGAGATAACAAACTAGGAAAATCAATGAAAGGGTTCCTCCTACCTCTACTAACTGAAATAAAAATTTAGGAAAAACAAATTATTATATGTATTTATCCTAATGTCATTAATCGGAACGGAAATCGACAAGTTTTTTGTAGAGAAAAAAACCAAGCCCGGTCCTATAGGTCAGATCCCTATTTATAATGAAGTGATCCTTTGAGACACAATACTGGTAACTTTGAATGGCAAAAGTTTTTTTTTTTTGAAGTTGGCTTTAATTGTAAAGAATCTGAAGATTGGTAATATTGAACATGGTTATACTTTATTTGTAGACCTTGATAGAGAATGACTGTGTAGAGGCCTTGACCTTTGTCCTTCTTGACCTGGAGTCAAGGATACCTGTCCTGTCAGAGGTCACAGCAGCTCTAGCCGTCATGGCTGACGAAGGTAAAAATTCTTATATCAGATACAAGAGAAAACAATTTAAAGTAAATTCATCATCTGGGAGACTGCATGTTTCAATTGAGTTATATTTGTTTAATTACTGTCTACACTGATGAAAAACCTCTTTTATTGTTTTCAGATGATGTAAAATACAAGCTGATACATCTACAGGGAGGTAAAGCCTTCAGTAAGCTGGTGACCCTGGCTTCACTGTCTAGTCACAGAGAAATACAGTACAACAGTGCTGGCACGCTGGGACAACTGGCGTTAGTCAGTGAGTATACAAATACTGGGATTCAGCAAGAGTTATTGGCCCTGAAGGCTGATTTAGTTAAAATTATTTAATGGAAGTCATTGTATATAATGAATAAAAATAGATGGCATAAAAGACAAGATAACTTTCTGTATAAATTGTTTAGATCTTTAGATTACATATTCACTGATGTTGATTCATTGAGAACTGAAAATGAAGTTATGTTGTATCGGTACGTGTAGGTTTACCAGCTGAGTTGAAAGAGGCTAATAGAAAAGGCATTGTTCTATACATTGATAAGTTCCTAAAGTCTCCAGACCCAAGCTTTGTACATGTGGCTCTGTGGACACTAAATATGCTACTTAAAGGTAGGTAAAGTTAATACACAAGAAAATATTTTCTATGATATATTTTTTTTTCTGCAAAAATTAATGTAGTCGAAAATTTAATTAATTGTTTGGTCAAAGGAATAAATTTACGATTAGACAGAATTCACTTTGTTTTATTTTTATTTTAGATATATTTTTCCTGAGGGCTTTCACTGACCACAGCATTGAGTCTGTAATAGACCAAGTCAAAATAACTCATCAGCTGGCAAAAATCCAGGACCTCTCTAACAGTGTTATTGACCAGCTCCACGGGGTCATGACCTCTTCAACCTCTAGCGAGGACTGAATTTAACAGGAAGGGAGTTCTTCACCTCATTGAGGAATCTCCAAATTTTAAAGAATCTCCCATATTTTTCTTATCTTATTTATATGAATGGACATCATCATTTTACATGAGAAAAACATCTTCTGCTTTGTTGTCTAAATTAAATCTTAATTTTAAGGTTGTCGTCATTAGTACTTTTTGTTATACATGTTAAACAAATTGCTGGGCATTAAGAGAAATCCATCCAATAAGACATCATTGCTTCACTGTTTTATGTGATATGTCATAAATACACTGCAGAATGCTGTACAAAAGTTAAAAATGGACCTCAGGCTACCCAAATAAAGTACACATTGTATTCATTATATTAAAGAATTATATTACCTGTTGGATATTTTTGTCAATGAGCAATGAAACTTACCTGGGCCTTGATTTTAAGTATTAAAAAAAATATATTAACAAATAAAACAAGATAAGAATAAAAGCAAGAACATGTAGAGAAGTGGTTGCTTGAAATAATCTAAAAGTAAAAGTAATCAATAAGAAATGTTGTCACATTAATGTAGTATTTGTAGCAAATTGGTCAGGTGTGTTTTATATCAAGATAATGGTTGTTGTTCGAAGGTGAAATATTGTTTATCATTCCAGGAACTTTTATTACTTGCACTAACATTGTCATTTTAGAACCCATTTTCAATAGTTTATTATATATTTTATTAATTTATTTATGTTTTATGACATTTGTATTTTTTAATTTTTGTATTAGTGGTAAGGAAATACGGACTTTATTGGCAATATCATTTATCTCCCTTGCAGATCCATTATTTATGGTATTTCATGTTTTATCTTTGTATTTGTATATGCAAAACAACCTGTTCTGGTACCTTCACAGATGAAACTAATATGCCTGTATGCAACTTCAGATTTGTATTTTTGATTTAAAATAATCCATTTTTAAACCATTTTTAAATATGCTTAGACTTTGAACATGTTTACATTTTAGTTCTTTATAAAATACAAAAAAAAAATAAATAAATAACAAGATAAACAGTACTTATATGTAAGGACTAATGCCATAGAAAATGTCTACTGCATACTTGTGAGAGACCCTTGGTAGCAAGTATAGACAATTATCATTATCAATTGATCCCCATTTTTTAATTGTGTTTTTACACCATACTTTTTAAAGTTTTATAAAATGTGTTACAGGTAAAGTTGGTAAATATGCAAATTTGTTAAATTTTGATCATAACAGATGAATCTGTCGGTTATAAAGAGAGAAAACAAGAAATCAAAGAGCTTTGAGATCTATATTTGGGACTGGGTTCTCCGTGTTATAAAAGATTAAAAAAAAAGAGTTCAAAGATAACAAGCTAATTCAGAGAATATATGTCCCCTGCTTAAGGAAAAAATAAAAGCATGTGCAGATGTAGAAAGTGTGTGGCGGTGGGTGTGTGTGTGTGGGGGGGGGGGGTGAAGTTGGGGAAACAGGTCACTTTAAGAGGGATTGACATATGAAGTGAAAGAAGTGTCATCTATTTTTTTGTCATTAAGGTCATACGCAACATAGTTTGAACTTTATTAAGCTCTTCCCGGGAATTGAAGAGTTCCACTGAAGAACCTGTGTGCAATACTTTTAATGTCTATATATGGATTTGTACACTTCTTCTAAAACAAATTTTAATGGAAAAAATTTCTGAAATCTATGCTATAATTTTTGTACATTTTTCTTTGAACATTGCAATTTTTTTCATAATTTGATAACTTTTCAAAACCCCTGGTAATGCATGCTGATTTTTTGTCTATGAACATGTGATGGCATTAATAATTTTAAATTAAGAATATCTTGAAAAATTATCAGTAGGTAAGGTACCTTGCCTATGTCCTTAACATGGTATTTTCAATGAAATTGCTCTTCAAATATGCCATGACAATTTACAGGTCTTACCGTTGAAGAAATGGTTTCTCTGAGAATAAAGCAGTGGTGCTGGCCCTGAAAAAAAGGCTGATCCAGTAGTCCGCCATCAAGCTTACTGGTTGTGGAGGTTGTGTGGAATATATCTGGAGGAGCTCCCTATACAGTAGAGACTTACAGTACTGTGCTTGAGCTGCTTTGACTCTGTGCCAAATTATAGGAAGAAGGCAATAAATAGAAACTGGTGACTTGGCTTTTACAACTTTGTACGCCATGTGTTGCATTTCCACATTGCATTGACATCCCATGAAAATATAGATCAGTATTTTTAAGAGAATATACACTATACATTTCAGTTTTCACGGTTTGAGACTATCTCTATTCAGAGCTCGTATATCATAGGCTTTAAATATTTGGGTATTGGGGGCTTTGATTTGCCAAACTTTGTCAGTTGATGCATCTTTGGTGCTGGAACCGAAAAGTTGGATGTAACCTACTTTTGAAGTGTTATGGTTGTATTTAAATGTTTTCAAGTACCCTCTGGCTAAGAATCATCAAACCTTGGAAGGTGATGCATCTTGATTTCTAATTGACTCATGCTACAGAAAAGGTCACTGTGACATTTGAAATGTTATGGTTTTAATTATTTTAATAGTTTGGGGTACTAAATGGCTTATAATCATCAAACTTTGTCAGTCGATGGAGCTTGGGTCCTCAACTGAACCGTTCAATCGCCTGCTGATTTGAACTTGCCATATAAATCAAGCAGTAAACCAGATGGCCTCGATACCTAGCACTGAAATCACTGAAAGCAAAAGAAGTGACGATTTCTAACTAGGTAAAATGTAGAGGACTTGCTGGCTGTAAATAGGATGCTTTTAATTCGATCATGAACTTTTAGAAGGTCTGAGCTACTGACTATTAAATTAATGTTACAACATTGTAGCAAACCCTTTTTAATGCCAACTTTTCTAAGATTCCACATTTGTAGAAATGATCATGCTTGTAAATTAATACATCCTATTGTTTGGTCAATTTTTACCACAGTCTTGTCAGTTTTCTTCTGTCAGCATCACGAAACCTTCAATAGGTTGTATTGAATTGATTGTACGTTGTTTTACTGGCTTCCATTTGCTGCCATTTTTCACTCTAGTTGGAGCCCACAGAAGCATTCTTCATTGAATTAGCATCACAACTTCAATACTTAAGTACTACATATGTGTCCTATCAATAAACGCATCAAAATGTAATTTTAACTCTAACCTGTTTTTCTATGCTATAATAACCTTTTTTTGAATAAATATATATAATACATGTACTAAGTTTCGAATTCATGAAGTGATCAATGGATTGGCTTGTGTGATAATTTGCATAAACGCCGGGCCCTTTTTCTGAATTAATAAGTACATAAAATTTAATAAAATTTTTATCAGAATTGAGAAAATCTGAAAAATGTTACAATTCCTGATATTGTGTATGCTTTGATTCCGCAATTAATGCTGGTTTTCAAAATAGCATCATCTCTAGGTGTTGTCCCGCCCTTTTTTTTTTTGTTTTTGGAACAGTGCCAAGACATTATGAGGACATAAATTACATGTTACATATTGGTAATTTTATCTCACTAAATATCATTGGAAATGTAAATATTCACAAATATATGTTAACTGTTTCCAGCTTATTATGACTGCATCACAGAGGACCTGGTTCTTCCACATGGAAGCTAACTGGCAGAGAAGAGAACTAGAGTGGATCTGGTTCATGTACACTTTGTGGTAAAACATGATGGATATTTCCTTTAAGAAAACATAAAGGAACATTTTAAAGATTCAGTATACTCTTTATTCAGATGCATTACTAAAATGCAGAAAATAACAAAACAAGTAGCCCATGGGCCACAACGCTCATCTGAGTAACTTTCGTCCAGCTGTTCTTCACCAGACCCCCCCCCCACTACATGTTGTAATACTTTACATAAATAAACCCAACTTTCATAAGAAAACCAACCTTTATATAATTAATATATTTTTACAGTTTCTCCATCCCAGATTTAAAACATAAGAAAAACCCCTTACAAGGTTACAAAAGAAGACTCCAATTCGAATAAAACCAAAGAATATGTCACTTGCTCATAAGATACTGTTTTGCAAATCTAATGCCGAGAAAAAAAAAAATCTTTTTCACCGGTAGATAAACTTGCTCCATCTCTCATTTCATTAATAAAAAAAACGAATTGGTACTAATACCCCGGGACTACACTAATAAAGTTAACTGTAAAATTTGTTTGCCTATCCCATTGCATAAAATCTTTCCTCCGAAAAATTGTACCCCTGGCCCTTTATCGCGGTATTGCCCCATTTGCACCAGAAAGGATGAAAATCTTGACAATTGAACAGGTTCTCCTTGGTAACCAGCGCTCCACCCCCTTTTCCCTTTTTTCTTAGTTGAACAGTTCCAGGTCTGAAAATGATTTGGAAATAAGGAGTTTCAACATGGGGCAAAATTGGAAAAATCCTGGGGAAATTTGCAACATCACACGTCCTCTTTTTAAAAGTGACACCCCCCCTTTTTTGCCGACATCCGTATCGAGTCACATAAAAAAGGTTCAAATACTGATTCTCCGGGGTTTTGATTAAAATTTTTTATGTCCAACCCCAAAATCCTTAAAAAAATATAAATTAACCAACAAAATATGATTTAACAATAACTCTTTTGAAACTGACTTTTGAAAGATCTTTTAATTTCCAACATTCTTAATAAAAGCTGAATTTTTCCATCCATTTGGTAAATTTGGGGAAATATGGACCCAGCATTTACATTATTTCATTTATTTGAATTTTTTTTAAAATAACCTATTACTACCCTATAGATATTTCCTCCAACCCTCGCAGCATTTTCCCTTTCCCCGATGGTGAAAGCTTTCTGCCTGTAGAAAAAGTTCTCACATTGTCCGTCTGTCTGGCACAATAAAGCAAACAGGAGGGGGGAAACCAGAGCTCCACGCTGCTGTTTTTTTTGGCGGGGTTCGTCATCTCCGGTAAAATCAACACCTCTGTCCACCTTATCAATGGTTTGTGAAGCAAGGTGAATCGGAGCAAAAAGACCACTGTTACGACCTCTGAAATCATTCTGGTTTAAAAGGAAAAAGAAACCAAACTCGCAGTAAATATATATTTACAAAACTTATCGTTTGGAAAATTACAATACTAA